TTGGCGCTGACTCAGCGCAAAGTTTGTTTATAAGTAAATCAACAAAACAGTAAGGTTGAGGAATACATAAAAATTATTGCTAAATATGTATTTTAAAGAAATTGTCTAACTTCTGAAGGGTGGAAATAATTGTGGGACACTCCATATAATCAGGAGCTTAATCCGTAATCCCTACCTATAAAAGTACTTCAAACGTAACGCAGATGAATTTCAAATACAGAAATGTGAAGTTTAAGAGGGCAAATTATCGTCAGATAGACGGATTCTACCGTTTTAAAATCAGGGCTGGATATCTGACACACGATATTGATTTACTTATTGATTTCTCTACCGTGCAACAATAACCTACATGCCGACGCTAACCACGAGTATAAGAAGAGAGACTGTTTTACCGATATTCACTAAGGTGTCCTTACTTTCGGGCGTTATTCATTCCATGCTGACAGAACTAAGACCTCTCAATTACATAAAAGCTGGATGGGAAAAAACGCGAGCTTATATACTACCACGTATAGGCAAATAATTACAGTATGTAGAAATATCGTGAAGGGAGTCTGCATGATTGCATTTTAGACAGGGAGCTTTTTGGACTTCAACGTTACCTAATTTTGACGATTTTGTCTTTGCTCTGGGTAAAACGTAGTTGTAAGTCCTCATAAAGCCTACTGATGACGTCAACATAACTTTAGAAGCGCTTTTGTTTCTTTCCGTAAATCCAAAACTTGAATGAAATTTAACGGGTAAGGCTTAAGAATACATTTCTCTCAAATTAATATTTATTTGAATATACAAATGCAAGATTACAATGTTGCTTAGGGAATAATATACATTTTTATCATGTTTTATTCTCCCCGACCAAAACTGAAATATTTTGAGGTGGTGAACAAACAGCGGCTAAGAACGCATCAAACTAGCCGATAAGGTTTACTTTAAGAAAGAGCATTGGCCCACTGCTTCCATAAACTTCCAGTACTTGTCTTCATCAAAACAACTCGTCATACGAACTATCAAAAATACAGCCACTAAAGTTGAAAAACACATAGTAGGAACATGCATCTTCTTCAGCTGTGCTGCTGGGGCTCTCCGACTCAACGTATGAAAGAACGATGAATGTTTATTATGCTGTATTCTCATAACCACATATACATAATCTGGGAAAACGTCGCTAGCGTTTAGTTTACGAACAGACATGCGGGTAACTTGGGATGTGTCACAGGTAAAAAAAGAAACCCCTTATCAATGCGAGAAATGTGGATGTAATGCATTTTGTCACAAAATAAGGGTTAATAAATAGCCGATTTCTTCAGCTGTATTTCAAAAAAGCTGAAAGTATAAAGTCACCCTTCACGCCCTCAATACGACAAGAATAACGTTGGCCTACACAGAAAAGAATGAAGAAAAAAAGAAGAAAAAAAAATGAAAAAAGAAGCATATGCAAACCTTTCAGTCCGAAACTCTGGCCTACTGCTCCTCTTATTAATAAAGCAACCCCTGATTTAATTTCCTCCGTTGACTACGTTAAAAATTAAAAGAAATATGTTTTGTGTTTCCACCCATAATGTAGGCGCAATAATTTGACAAGAGCTGGGGCCAGGGCTGTGTTAAATAACTCATTTACTTGAAAACGACCGGTCTTTCTTTTTAACGAATATTGTTTCGGCGCAACCATTGGATGTTCTTAATGGCGCACATTAAGTAAAGCCCAAAAGCTGCTTTCCGAATTTGGAGTGGCCTGTTATTCCTTTTATCTGCAAACCATTGACACTTGGCTACTGATAGCATAGCAGCTGATGTGATTGCTTTCTCATTACCTTTATAGCCAGCATCTGCTACATAATGTCATTTAGGAGCGACATATCTGGCTTAATCTCTCTGTGAAGCTTTTAGCTGCGCAGGGTTTTGGCGTGCATTCCTTTCTAGGGAAGTTTCGTGAGTTTCACTTTTCTCCGGGCTGCACATATTTTCGGTCAATCCGCTGCATGACTACCATTTAGGACACCATTGCTCTGCCTAAGTAGACACCCAACATCTACAGAATTACGAATGTAAGGCTAAGAGACGAGTGAATCCTTTCAATAAAATAGGTAACACCACGGCAACTGGAACCCCCATAATCCTGTAATAGGGGACCGGTGATAATGGTAATTCGTTTATTTTTAATGGATTATTTAATTTTATTAATTTTTTTATAACCTTTCTTGTGTTACTTTAATTTTCTTCTCAATTAGTACGCGCTTTTTCGTTGCTACATATTAGCAGTTTATTATACTTTTATCTTCTCTCTCCTGCAGTTTTTCTCATATTTCTTTTAGTTTCTCTCTTGCACCCCCCCACCCCTAATATCTCAACCGTAAAATTCCCACTATCATCGATCCCGTATAAGAGAATACTGCGTTTTGGGTTTTCGTGGTGTTGCCTATAATATACAGTTACTCAAAGTGGTAATGTACACAATCTCACAACGTGCGAAGCACTTTACAATATATTTGAATGCGCTTTCAATTAATAGAGGCACAAAGTTCGGGACTGGACATAGTTACTACGTAGTGTACCCTGCCCGTAATGAGATTCTTTCAAGCAATGAATAAAAACGCATAATCCCTCGAATATTCCCTTTCCAATATAAATGCCTTTTGTAAACTGCTGTGTATCTGGCTTGTAAATGTTATGCTACTGTTACGTATGTGCCTCTTCTTAGGACTTTTCAATTTTGCTCACTTTTTTATACTCCCTCCCGGAATTGTATCGATTTCTTCTTAGAAAAACTACACATTCAATAGTTACATTATTTACGAGCCGATTATAAAAAAATCCTGCCAACTCGTCTTACTCGCACCCGCTAATTTAATTTAAGGAAACATAAACGGCTCTAATAATATACAGTGGAGTACCATCGACTTGTTATACTTAACTAACGTGAACATGCATGAAAGTACATTTGAAGTTAGTCAGTGGCTGACAGTGCCTGGTTTGCAGCATACATTTGCAGTTTTTTGGTTAGTAAGTTTCGTCCAGTAACAAGCGTGAACAGACGAGTTAGCTCTTTCTTGCCAGAATGTCTCGAAACACCCCAAGGCCAC